GTGATTCTTATACTATATAAATTAATCTCTATCACACAATTATCTACTCAAAAAATTTTGGATAATTTAATTTGAGACCATAGACTGTTGGGTTAGACATACTAAGGCCAAGTTTGGCAACCAAAAAATAATCCATCTTTTTATCTTTTTTTCATCACACCATATCTCTACTTTTTTATACATTTTTTTGTAAAAAGACAATAAAATATATTTATTTAGGTCATTCCAAACAACTCCTAAAAGTAATTTTTGTATTTATTTATTATTATTATCATTATTATTATTATTATTTTTTTGTAGTTTCTGTTAAGCTCATTGTTGACACACCTACCGGTGACGGCACTTGTACCGTGTTTGTCAAGTTTTTTTTTTCTTTTTTTCTTTTATTTATTTATTTATTTGTTCTCTTGTTTTTAGGTAAAGTCTACATTGGTGATACACACACATGGCGTGGAAACAAAGCAGAGCCAGCAGAGTCTATTTTGACTATATAAATGGAAGGTTCCATACAAACAGGGACTCTCTCGTCTTCTCTCTCCATCTTTGAAGATGCCGCAAGATTGCTATGCACAGCGTCCCTTGTGTGGTGGCTCAATAGCCGCCACATTCCCTCTTCGATTTCAGGTTACTTCTTACCTATCTATCTATGCTATTATATTATAATATATAGATGTGAACGCTTATGTTGTCACTGTGCTCACGTCTCGTATTTTTATTTTTTTAAAATATGAGAATTTGCTATTCTCAAAGATAATTTATAAATAGTATGATTGGTTAATAATTAAAGAAAATATGAGATAATATTGTCTTTAATATCACAGGGCTTGAAAATTGAGCCATATATGAGGAAAATGAGAGTTGAATTGAAATTGAGATTAAACAATTAAATTTGGATTGGTTTGAAATTGAGATAATATTGTCTCGATAGATTTGGATTGATTTTTTGAATCCGTGGTTCGGTTCCAGATTAAACAATTAAAAATCTGTAGTCCACGGATTGGTTCCGGATTGAACTCCACGGTTTCGAATTGGAACCGATCCGGACCGTATACAAATAGTCTATGTTTTTATTATACATCCTCCGCATAGTATCTTCTCTTATTCCATATAAAACCTAAACTCAAACCTAAACCAGCATAATATCTTCTTTTATTACTTTTGTTTGTTAGTTTTTAGTTTTAATTTGTAATGGTTTAAATATTTATGGTGAAACTAATTTTCTTATGATTGTTTAAATTGTAGAACAGTATGTCGCTATTATAGAAAGACATGTTGCTATTGTGAAACTAATATAACACTATGTTTATGTTTTTATGAAATTAAAGTGTTATATATATATTTTTTTGTTATTTAATTATGTGAATCCGTGGTCCTAAACCGATCCAATCCGTGTTTAAATGAATTGGTTCAAATTTTTCAGGAACCGTAAATAACGGATTGGTCTTGGTTTTACCTCCAATCCGGTCCATGCTCACCCCTAATGAATAGCTGAGCAACTAAAGTGATGTCACAGTCGAAATGAACAATGGTGAGAGAGCTTAGAGTGGCCTACAGTCAAAGAGAGCTCTGATGAAAGCAAAAGTTGAGAGATGAAAAAAGATGTTTAAAATCTAAGAAGAAGAACAAAGAGGAAGAGAGAGATAGAGAGGGTAGACAAAGAAATCGGAGGCAAAAGCTGAGATATGGAGAAAAAGATAGAGAGGAAACGTGGGAAAATAGAGGGTAGATGGGGAGGCAAATCATTTGTGATAGGGAGACAGATGGTAGATACTGAGGCAAATCATTTGTATCTTAGGGAGATGAGTGTTGGGCAGGAACATCCATTAATCTCAACCATTGATATACATCTCAGATTCATCTCAACCATTAAAAGAAAATGTGTCTCTGATACATTTTTATACATTTTCAAAAACCCTTCTCCCTTATTATATAGATATAGATATATTTAATTTTTATAAAGTTGATATCATTAAAAAGAGTGAAAGGATGGGCGTCGTGTCGTATTGGGTCGTGGTCATATTCGTGTTGTGTTATCTCAGATTTGTGTCAAAATTATCTCAACACTAACTCGACCCGGTCTGATCTGTTTATTATTTCGTTTTATTGTGTCATGTTATTTTCGGTCCATGTCCGATTTGTGTTGGGACTAAAAATATCAAATGTATAAAAAAAATTAAAAATTTCTTCACAAGTTAAATTTAATGAACTGATCTCTATTATAGACAAGCATGTTTGATTTTAACTCAATGCCACTTTTTCAATTTAAAAAATAAATAAATAAAATAGGTATAGTCTATTGTTATATTTTATTTATTTGATTGACTCCAAAATAGGTGATAAGAAATACATTATCCTAAATAAAAAAATAAAAAATAAAAAACTATATTAACCTTAAAATCCTATTACATACTTTTATTTAGTTAGATAAAATTATATAAAAGATTCAAAAATATTAATCATGATACTCTTTAGTAAAAATAATATTAAAATTTATAACTAATTTTTCATTATACGGTTTATTCGTGTCAATTTCATGTTATACAGATTTGACACTAACTCGACCTGTTTAATATTTATATTACCGAGTTGTGTCATTTACATGTTCGTGACAGGAAATGGTCAACTCTAACCTGCTAATTTCGTGTACAATTCGAGTCGTATTATTGTGTCGTATTATTGTGTCGTATCACAAATTCTCACCCTTAACGTTGTGTTTGGTTGGAAGATTTGAAAAGAGATTTGGAAAGGAAAAGGAAAAGGAAAAGATGTGTGAAATTAAGGGAAATGTAAGTATATTTTATTCACATTTCACATATATTTTTTTTTCTTTTTCTCTTTCAAATGTCTTTCCAAATCTCCCAATCAAATACAGCGTAAGTGAAACTATACCTTTAAAATGAGTCAAATTTTAAATATATTTAACAAAACTTTGAAAATTAAATATTTATTAATGAACAAAAATTATTCACTTCTTGAGGAAAATATTTTGGAAAGAAATCTTTAGAAAAGAAAATGAAGATTTGTGGTTAGAGTTTAGATGAATAGAAAGATAATCTATATTCACTTTTTGAATAATTTTTTTTTTTTATTTTCATCCATTATAGTTGAGAGTATTGGGTAGCATTATTATTACGAACACATCTTTATCAATTAACAAATTAATTGAAATTTTTATCTTGTGATTCAGATTTATTGTGAATTCCACACCATATAAATTAATCTCTACCATACAATTATTGTCACAAAATTTTTTGGATAGTTGAATCTGAGAAGTTCTAAATAAGTGCACTTTTTGATTTTTTATAAAAAAATGTGTAGAAAAGTAGAGAAAGTGGGTAGAAAAGTAGAAAGTAAATATTGATTGATATGACTCAAATAAGTATATGTATGCAAAAAAAATACACTTTTTTAGTGCATGCCAAACACTTACTTATAGTTGGGTTAGACATATTATAAGTAATTTTTATTTTTTTGTAGTGTCTGTTAAGCTCATTGTTGACACACTAATAACTAGTGTCTAAGAATGGCAATAGGGTGAGAAGGGGTGGGGCGGGGAGGGGGATTACACTCCTCGTCCCCGATCCCCTAAGGTGTTAAATTCCCCGTCCTCGCCCTCGATTCTCGGCGGGGAACCCATCACCGCCTCGTCCTCGTCCTCGTCCCATACCCCTAACAGGGATTTGGTTTCCCCGACCCCATAAAATCCCCGAATAGACAGTGATCTATAAATAGCAATTCCAGTTGTTTCCATGTCTTTAAATTCAAAAATTGACACTCACATTGCAGCATCTGCTCCAGTTCTTCAAATTTAACTCTAAAGTGCAAAGGGTCTCAAACAAATGATGTTCACAAACTGATTTCAGACTTATTTTTCAACACATAAAAGTTGTTATATTGTTCTGCTAAAATTGTTACATTCATCTATGTCATACAATAGCCCAATCGATAAAACCCTAAATATAGTAGCAGAAAAACCAACTGGTTTTTGACTAGCGAAGCACGAGCTGACTCAAAACCCTAGATCGAAACTGAAATCGTTGAAAATAGATGATGGAGAGGGGGTGAAAAAGCAGTGATTTTTGGATTAATATATCAAAATTGAAAGAAGAAAAAAGAGATCGATTAGTAGTTTAACGAGAGAGAGAGAGAGAGAGAGTACCCTTTGAAAATCGACGATGAGCGGTGAAAGAGCAGTAGCTAACGACTGTGTGTGAGCAGAGCAGAGAGAGAAAGGCAATGTGTTTTGTGTGAGTGTCAACCAAACCCTAAAATGAGTCAACAAAATAGACACACACACACACACACACACACACACACACATATATATATAGAAGGAGGTATAATAGTAATTTTACTTGGGGGGAAACGGGGACGAGGCCAGGGCTGGGGCTGGAACCGGGGCCAGGGTTGGGAAACGTATCACCGTCTCTGGCTTTAAAATCATCGAGGATTCATTTTTGAATACCATTCTTGGCCTGTCGAGGGTATTTTTCAGGAAAAAAAAAAAACCGCTCTAATTCGGGTCGGGGTTGGGCCGCCATCAGGCCGGATTCAAATTGACATCCCTATCGGTGTTGGCACTTGTACTGTGTTTGTCATGCTTTTTTTTAATTTTTCCTTTGTTTTATTGTTTTATTTATTTATTTGTTCTTTTGTTTTTAGGTAAAAAGCTACGTCGGTGATACACGGAAATGGGTTACTATTGTGCTAAAAGTATAGTAGTGATTGTGGTGCTTTCATTTGAGGTACATTACGACCTTATTTTTATAATCTAAACCGTTCATTTTGTAGGGTTTGTTGAGTACTTCATGGCTACCAAAAATCATATTAATCGGATATCAATAACTATATGATCAAATTGCATATTATTTATGCTATTTCTCAAAAGAAAATCTTATTATTTATTTTTTTAGTTATCGATATAGTTGTTGATATTCAATTAATATGATTTTTGATAAGTATAAAATATTCAATAAACCCTACAAAATTAACGGTTTAAATCATAAAAATAAGATTATACCACACCTCAAATAGAGAGACTACACTGATCCCATTTCCTACACGCACACACGGCGTGGAAGCAAAGCATAGTCTATTTTGACTACATAAATGGAAGGTTCCAAACGAACAGGGGGCCTTGTTCAAAAACAGAAAAGGAACAAAACAGAGAGGAATCTCTCCTCTTTTCTCTCCACCGCTGTAAATGTCGCGAGATTACTGTGCACCGCGTCCTTTGTTTGGAGGCGCAATAGCCTCCACATTCCCTCTTCGATTTCAGGTTACTTCTCAGCTATCTATCTATGCTATTATAATAAAATATATAGATGCGAACTTTTATGGTGTTACTTTGTTCGATTCTGGTATCTTTTACTTTTTTCAAATATGGGAATTTGCTATTCTCAAAGATAATGGGTAAATGGTATGATTAGTTGATGATTAAAGAAGATATGAGATAATCTTGCCTTAATATCACTGGCTTGAAAATTGAGTTATATATGAGGAGGATGAGAGTTGAAATTGAGATCATGGATAGGATAGGATAGGAAAGTTTGTAAGTATTCGGGTAAATTAGAGAGGCTTAATTTACCAAAAAAATTACCAACTGCATCGATAACCTAATTAATTGGAATGTTCTTTTTTTCCTTAAAAGCTTATGGACAGATAGTAAATTTTCGGGTAAATTGGAGAGGCTCTCTCAATTTATTGTTCTTATATTATTATTATTTTCCAATGGCATGTGCGCAGACAGCTAGTATTTATGTGTGCATACATATTTAAGGCTTCGTTAATAGTTGAACACTAGACAAAGGCAATTCACCCACGAACTTGTGTTGGATTTGCAGGATGTGAGCAACGTCAGGCCAGTGCCTGATCATCAGGTTTGTTTGTTTGTTTGTTATTTTATGCATTTTTATTTCAATTTGATGTTTATCAGTTGTATGATGCTAGCTATGGTTATCACTTTCTTGGGTTTCAATTGTTGATTGATTTTTTTGTTGTAATTCAATTCTTATTTGAAGGAGGTTTTAGGGGACCCTGAGCGTGACGAGAGTCTGATATTTGAACTCTTAGATCTCAAACTTGATGTTGCTGACAATGGAAGTGCAACCTGGTTTCTTCAAGACCTTGCCACAGAACAAGATGCTGAGCAAGTCATGGTAACTAATCAACATTCACATTTTTCTCTTCTTTGCCAATTATAAGTTTTATAAATAAATAAAAAAAGAACTTGACATAAAATCAAATGTCTTTGTTATTGAACGTGGCCATTGTTCATATCTATTCTGTTTCCTTTTATTTTGTTATTTCAGATAATTGAGCAGTCTGGAGTGATTGAGTTTGATGGGTTGCGTTGCAGAAACATGCCTGTAGTTGTTACTACTGCAGTTGGCCAGATGGTAAAAAAATAGCATATCAATTACATGAAGTGAAGTTTTTGGTGAATTTCTTATTCTTTTGTTTTATGTATTACGTGGTTCTAAATTTGCATGCCATTGATTATGGCGGTGATCTATTGAATTAATATTGCCTGGTGCTACTTTGTTAGATCATTTGAAGTTCTAATGTCTTTGCAAGGATGAAAAAGTTATTGCCTTTGGGCTTATTATTATAATTGGGACTCGTAACTTGTAAGTGTATGTGTGATGACAGAATACTCATCAAGCTGTTCACTGTTCTAACTTTCTGTAGGCTCCTTCCTTTGGCAGTGCAATTGTATAACAGTCACACCATTTGTGATTGTATTATGTGGGGAAGAATGATAGGTGAAGAACTAGGCATGAGGGAACGTTCTTGTGAGCCAAATTTTTTTTTTTAAAGCTTTTTGTCAAGGAAACCAATCAGAGTAGTACCTTTGTTAATTAATTGTGATGCTTAAATGAAAGGAAGAAAATATTCACATGGTATTGACCAACTCTGTTACGTGGAGGCTGTATGATCAGTGTGTTTAGATGATCTTGCATATCGGTGATAGAGCTTTAAGTGGATTAAAAATTAACTTTCTTTTTTAATGCTGTAAAGGATACATATTGAACCACATCTATTTTGCAGAGGCTTTTTATCTATTGATTTGTCATTTATTAGCATGTCATGGTGATGGAGAACATTATCACATGCTGTATTTAATAGTAATGCCTAGTTTTGGTAGACAAGTCCATAAGATGACTTTCCGCGAAATTGTTGGTAAGGTATTTTTACAAAATAGCACTACTGGAATTGTGTAGCGACCTCAAATTGTAAGCGTGATGATTATCGTGTATAAAAATGCTTGCTTGCATGTGTTCACACACCTTGCTGTACCCTGCTCTCCCTATCTTTAAACATGTTATTTGCATTCCAGATACACTTTGGTTACTAACTGCTATTAACACTCATGCTTAGGCCATCTCTAAGGAAGGCCAAGGAAGGGAAGCTCAAAATATAGTTAGGGTAAGTTTGTATTTTCTTTCTCTACTGCTGGTTTTTTGTTTCAAATTGCCAAATGAGGTTTGAAATATTAATTCCTGCAGGTGTATTTGGCAAATTTGCGTCTTAGGGAAGTTGGTACTGATGTACTAATCACTGCATATGAACCCATCTTAATAAGGTAAGTATCAAGGATATCCTTGTAGTTTGGCTTTTGCTAGTAGTTCCATTTTTTAATTTTACAGTTCTTCACTTAGACACCCTAGAGGAAATCTTTCCTATTTTGTAGCAGCAGAGTCTGAAAATCTTCTCGGTCTGAACATTCACCCTGTCACTGACTTTTAAATGCCCAACAAAACACATCCTCTAAAGCAATTTTAAAAAAAAAAAAGAAGAAGAAAAAAGAAAAAGAAAGATGAAGGGCTAGTTTGTGGAACGGCTAGTTTGTGGAACAACTAGGGTCTAGAATCCAACTCCACCATTTGACATTGTCTCCCTACCATTTTGACTCTGGGCGTTTGACATTTTACACACACTTCATATATTGTTGTTGTTGGTTGTGTTAGTAATTTTTTGGTTAGAAAATTTTCTTAAAATCAAGTCATTTCTTGTTCAATCTTTCTTCCTCGTTCACCTGAAAAAGTGGAAAACAAAATAGAGACACATGCTTCTCTAGTTACAGTAAGAAAACTTATTATATATAAAGTGTAAAGAGAGTTGGTTATTGGTTTGTATTTAACCAATGAATTATTTCTCAAGATGGCTAAACTCCTCAATTTGCATGCATTTCATTGTGTTGTAATCTGACCAAACCAAAAAAAAAAGAAAAAGGTTGTTCACATTGAAGTTTGAAGGCTAATAATAGTTGTCACTGGAGGAGTTTCTTTGACAATTTCAACTGTTTTGCTAATGTGGTTGCAGTCCTTTGAGTGATAGCGCGAGCACAGTTGGTGCTGGTCTGGCTGTACCTGCTGCACAATCTGGATGTGTGCCAATGGCCGAGGTTTTTCAACTTGCAGTCTCTAGCTTCAAGGTGAATGATTGGAGCCTTTTTGGTCCTGCTGGTTGAGAAGTTCTGAATGAACCTACTAAGTGAGTCGTTACAATGAATAGTCTTTCTATTATAAATTTTCTTTCTAATTACAATGAACCTACTAAGTGAGTCGTTCTATTATACACCTCCAAAAGGGGTGTACCATATACTAGTTATTACTTTATGATATTGATATTATAAATTTTATAACCAAATTATTTTTATTCATAACTAAAATGACTACTATATAAATTATAACCAAATAACAAATCTTCAATTATAACCAAAAAAAAAAAAAAAAAGAGGAAAAAGAAATTACATTAAGTCATAAATAATATCAGAATGCGTCATTACAAATCATTACTTGATGTATAATCAAAGACTCTTCAATCACAACCAAAATAACAATTACAAGAAGTTATAATTAAGTTATATCTAACATTATAATGTGTTATAACTAAAAATCATAAAGATCATAACTGCGACATATGATAGATATTTTTTTTTTTTGCGGTGTGTTTTATAGAATTTTTCTACTAAAATTTATCCTTTCTCTCAACTTATCTTCTTTTTTAATTTTTCAATCCACCTAAAATAGTTACTGCACAATATTTACATAAAATTTAACTTCAAATCCTTTAATTTAAAATTCACATCTATGCAAATAAACTCTGAATGTTTACGTTTAGTAATATCTCATTGTTATTTATTATGAGGAAGAAACAAAATTAATATTGTCATTAATTTGTGTCTATTTTCACTGAATTCCAGGCTCCCCTACAAACTGTGGCATTCACTTTGACTTTCAATTTTGTGGTTTGATTCCTCAAGCAATGTGCAAGTGTAAAATGATTTTCTGGTCAAAGCGATTTATTGATAGTTTCTTTGAGTGATCGTCCTAAATCTTCATTGGCAAGCACTGAAAAAGCATCTTTATTGGCAAGAACTGAAAACGCTACGTACGGAGACTTCCGCATAGAGTTTATAATGTTTCGAGTGATGAGTGTGCTATTGCTGGAAGGGAGGTTGGTTCTCAAGAGTCTGGGACAATGGTTTCTTTTTTTTTCTTTTTCCTGGAAAATAATTTTTGAGTCAGTGCTATACAATCATTCAACGAATTAAAATCTTAGCACATATATGTGCAAATTGCAAAATATTTTGATTTTGTCACTCTCATGTCATTTGGCTGCGTCCTATCTTCTTTCGCTGTATATAGAAAATACAAAGGTCTTCCCACTATGCTTGAAGAAGTGCTTTGGCTGAGTACTGCTGATGAGAGAGAGAGAGAGAGTCTTGTACTACTAATGTACAAATTATTTTCTGGATGGAGTTATAATTTATACTGCGAATTATACTAGCGGTCTCTATAGTTTAGATCACGTGTCACTCTAGTACCTTTTATGATATATTTGACCATGAATTTTGAATTTTGTTTCAAATAAGGACAATTGAAGATATCATTGCTCAATTTTAAAGTCAAAGTAGTCAATTTGATAAAATATAAACTAATTTGATAAAAATAAATGTTAAAAAAATATTTTTGAATTTTTAAAAATTATTTCTACTAACTAAAGATAAAATTATGTATTTAAACATTTATTTATTTATTTTTATCAAATTAATTTTTATTATATGTTTGGATGATTATCATGTAATGGGTGATAGTTTTTATTTTCATTAAATTAGTTTATATTTTTCAAAAGTCAAATATGGCGACAAATTTGATATCATTATTAAACCAATTTATCAAGAAATTCAAATTAAAAACATTTCATATATTAAATATATCGATTATATATTAAAAGTTTAACAACTATTCATTACATGATCATCATCCAAATACATATTTGGCAAAATAAATAAATAAATGTGTACAATATTAATCAATTTTACGTAAATTTATCTTTGGCGGGTAGAAATTATTTTTAAAATTCAAAAATATTTTTTTGACATTTATTTTTGTCAAATTAGTTTATATTTTATCAAATTGACGACTTTGCCCTTGAAATTGAGCAATGGTATCTTCAATTGTCCTTATTTGAAATGAGATTTAAAATTCAGGATCAAATGTGTCACAATTGAAAAGTCAGATATCAAAGTGACATGAGTCAAACTATAAGGACTGTTAGTATAATTCGCCCTAATTTATATTGATAAACATACCAGAGATATTACAAAGTTCATCCATATTACACAACCAAAACTAGGGCAAGCTAATACAACAAAGCAAATTATTACACTGCTGCATAAAACCTAGAAACAAAATTAATATTCACCTAGTCATGCCTTAATTAGCTAAGTTGTGTGCCTGTTGCACCGATTGTCCGGGAACTTTGCAGATGCGTATCAACAAAAACTTCTTTAATAAAGCAACTATATCTTGTAAAATAGGACCAGTGTTCCAGCATTCTCAAGAATCATTTTTCAGTCCATGTCGAAGGAGTTGACAATCTGTTTGAATTTTCAGAATTTTCACTCGTGTAATCCGTTTCAATTTGCCCATTGTAATGCTAAAAGGCATGCCCTCAACTCAGCTTCCAATGTCGAATACTGCTCTAAATTTCACTGTCTCAAAGGCTAGACTTTGCAACCCACCATTGTCTATACCCCAGCAGCTCCATCCTCATTTGTTGTCCGTTTCCATGCGCCATCAATCAGAAGATGAGCAAGAGATTTATCTATGTGGGTGAGAGGTGTGGTTGGAGATAGTCTGGGAAGATACAGGCACTTCAATGGATTGAGATCATTGGAGGTGGAGATAAAGAGGTTAAGGCAAGCTTGGAAAGGGAAAGGTTGGTAGTGATGGACCTTGAACACTAATGTAGAATGTGAGAGGAAGTGTTTAAGTGTGTGACTTAGTGTGTTAGAATTACGGAGTATTGTTGTAGTGAAGTGAAATTTTTTATTGCATATACAATACGTTATATAGGCCACAAGAGTATTGGAGCCCAAGCAATCTGTTGAACAGGTGGCTTGTTCTCTCTAACTTTGCCAAAAGTGATATAAGCTCTTCTATCATCTGTGACTTGACGGCAGGTAGAAAGCAACGTTTCATGGTGGGCAGAAAGTAACGTTTCGTATATGCATCGGATGATATGAATGTAAGGTCGTTGTTGCTTCTTCTCCAAGCCTGGTTAAAATGGAGTTGTCTTAGCAAGAAGACAACCATCTTAATGATCCCATGACCTTAGCCGCCAGTCCAATATCCTTTGATGATCCTGAACAGTTGTGCCTAGGTCTTGCTCCCAACCCAGGAAATCAAGTAGGTGAATGGGCCAGGGCCCACCTTGGTGTTTAGGAGAGCCAGGGGCTCGCTTCCAAGTAGGAGAATGGGCCGCAGGCCTATCTCAATGTTTAGGAGAACTAGGGTTTATTAGTCCAAGTTCAAGTGAACCAGGGGCTAATTATATTGTTATTTGGTCTTAGAGCGAGGTATGAAGGACCATGGACCCGGCGGGGCCATGGTGCTACCTATTGTAAGTCTCTTCATATTTAGACATATTTGGGCTTGTATGTCTGCTCCCATTTAGGCTAAGCATATAGTCTTGGTTTTGCCTGGTGCCTTGGCACACGACGCCCATAGGGCTCGCCATGTATCAAACATGTGATATGCCCACGTGGTGCCTTATTGGTCTGCCACGTGGGCGGGTTTTGGTGATGTGGCACTCGTAGGGCTTGCAGTGTATTGGGCTTGATACAAGTATCCGCAGTAATGCCCTGTACATATGCTCTTATATTGGTCTGCAATGCGAGTGGAGTTTTGGTGATGTGGCACTCATAGGACTTGCCGCGTATTGGGCTTGATACAAGTTCCCACAATAATGCTTCCCTGTACAGATGCTCTTATAGCTAATGAGAGTATTTGTACATGACTATGTTAAAAAGTTTTGAAAATATTAGCTCATGCGGATAAGTATTTAGATAGAGTTATCTAAAATTAGGCTTTCGATACAATAGAGGGATTTGAATTGCTCACGGAGAGTTTACATTTTAAGTTTCATCCGGTACGAGCCGGTCGGATGAAGATGTGGGCTTGTTGGGCGATGGCTTGATTCCACGGAATCTCCACCATTTCACAAAAGATTTCAGCTTCGTTCCAGAGGCACCAAATTCCGTCCATCACCCTTTCCTCGCCACAATCAAGCTTCATTGCTTTGTTGCTTGAATGCATCATTGAACTACACCTCAATGCATCTTCTTTGTTTGACCGTTTTTTAATGCTAATTGCATCTTTTTTGCTTGTCTTTCGCTCCAAATTGCTTGGTCGTTAATGTGTTGTTCCGCTGTAGGTAGCAATACTTTTGCAATTGGATTGGGATTCAACCTTTTTTGCGTTTCTCCATCTTTGTAACGCGCAATCTGAACTTTCAATAGGTAAGTATTTGTAGCAGTCAAATTTCCATAGTAGCGGAGATTTTTGTGTGATGAATGCAACTTTTGATTTGTAGTTCTTGTGTTGATACAAGTAACATTTTATAATATGGCTAAAGTGGAAGGGGGAAGCATTGTTCCTCGCCGTGGCACGCAACAATCGCTAGCGGGTTCTTCTGGAAATTCCAAGTTGAAAAAGGGTAAATCTAAGAAGAGTCCTTTTAAGGACAAGAAGGACATGGTAAATCTAAGAAGAGCCCTTAACTTTTAAAAAAGTTATGTCCAGTCATGAAACTTCTTTATGGAAAGAAGTTGTAAATAGTGAAGTTGAATCCATCTTGCAAAATCACACTTAGAAATTGGTGGATCTGCTACCAGGTTGTAAACCTCTTGGGTACAAGTAGATTTTCAAGAGAAAAATGAAAGCGGATGGATTAATTGACAAATACAAGGCAAGACTAATGGTCAAAAGTTTTAGACAAAAAGAAGGTCTTGATTACTTTGACACATACTCACCGGTTACTAGAATAACATCCATTAGAATACTAATTGCTATTGCATCGTTGTACAATCTAAAAATTTATCAAATAGATGTGAAAATCGCTTTCTTAAATGGTGAGTTAGATAAAAAAATTTACATGGGACAACCAGAAGGATTTTTTGTTTTAGGAAAAGAAAAGAAAGTATGTAAATTGGTTGAATCATTATATGGTTTAAAACAAGCGCCAATGTAATGGCATGAGAAATTTGACAATGATGTTAAATAGATTCAAAATTAATGAATGTGACAAATGTGTTTATATTAAAAACACAAGCAAAGTATATGTGATTGTATGTCTTTATGTGGATGATATGCTCGTTATAGGTAGTAATAATGACATGATTAAAACTACCAAGAAAATGTTGAATAAACATTTTGACCTGAAGGACATGGGGATTGTTAATGTAATTCTTGATATGAAAATTACCAAAACATCAGAAGGTTATGCTTTGTCACAATCACATTACATTGAGAAACTACTTGACAAATTTAGCAAAGATGATGATCATCTTGCTAGAACACTTGTGGATGTTAATTTGTTTCTTTCTAAGAATGTACAGGAAAGTATTTCTCAATTATAGTATGCCCAAATTATTGGAAGCTTAATGTACTTGATGAACTGCACCCGCCTGGATATAACTTATTCAGTAAGTAAATTAAGTAGATATACGAGTAATTCAAGAGTAGAACACTGGAAAACAGTTATAAGGGTTCTAAGATACCTCAGGTTTACTCGTAACATTGGGCTGCATTATACTAGATATCCAACAGTACTTGAAAGATATTGTGATGCAAACTGGATATTGGATACTAAAGACTCAAAGTCCACCAATAGGTATGTCTTTACTTTTGGTGGTGCGGCTATATCTTGGAAATCTTCTAAATAGACTTGCATTACTAGGTCTACTATGGAATCAAAATTAATAGCTTTAGATAAAGTTGGGAAGAGACAGAATGGCTTTGTCACTTCCTTGAAGATATTCCAATGTGGCCAAAACCGGTGCCTGCTATATGCATACATTGCAATAGTCAATCAACAATAGGTAGAGCACAAAGTCATATGTATAACGGTAAATCACGACATATTCGTCGTCGACATAACATCGTAAGAGAACTACTCTCTAATGAAATTATTTTCATTGAATATGTGAAGTCTAAAGACAGCATAGCGGATCCGCTAACCAAAGGGTTAGCAAGAGAGCTAGTTAAGAATTCATCGAGGGGAATGAGACTTAAGCCTATTAAATAAGAGTTACCACAACGGCAACCCAACCTAGTTGACTGAAGATCCCAAGATCTAGGTTCAAAGGGACAACCGAGTTGTGTATGACTTATAAGGATCATTGAGGAGTCAAACTCCTACCAAATTTTATGATAAAATAGTGATGTTTGCAGCGTTTTAGGTTAAGTAATACTTTTAATGATTCTTATAGCTAGGTA